ATACATGTATCTTCAACAACATAAACATAGATCTAATTATTGCGTTTAGCAACCAAAACGCATATATCTTCATCATAAATACATATAACACATATACATGTATACATATGACACTTACACATAAACGTGTGTACATATAACACATAAAAATGAGAAAATAAGAAAAATAGAATAATCTCATGTAGTAGCGACAGATATGTGGTCTTCATCACTGATCAGCGAATGATTTGCGAGGGAATCGGTTTTTGGGTATATCCATCACTGATCAGTATGGAATCTACGAGGGATAGGCCAGAAATCATTTCCCTCGCAGATTCTTGGCTGATCAACGACAGATTAGCGAGGGAACTGGTTATTAGACTATCTGTCGCATATCCCTCGCTGATTAGTGACGGACATGTGGTCTTCATCGTTGATCGGCGAATGATCTGCGAGGGAATCGGTTTTTGGTATATCCATCACTGATCAGCATGGAATCTGCGAGGGATAGGCCAGAAATCATTTCCCTCGCAGATCCCTCACTAATCAACGACGGATTAGCGAGGGAACTAGTTATTAGACTATATATCGCAGATCCCTCGCTGATCAGCGACACATAGGCCCAAAACCATTTCTCGCACTAATTTGTCGCTGATCAGCGATGGATCTACGAGGAAAATGGTTTTTATCTTATCCCTCGCAGATCCCTCGCTGATCAGCGACATATAATCTAAAAACCAGTTCCCTCGCTAATTTGTCGTTAATCTGCGAGGGAAATGGTTTTTAGCCTATTCATCGCTGATTTGCGACAGATTTTTTCCGTCGCTAATAACCATCGCTGATACTTTGTGTTTCTAGTAGTGAGCTACTTTGGTGATTTGCTTATACTTTGAAATTTTAATGGTTGACTTTTGGTTAGAAGTTAGCAAGTGTGCCAAAGATGTTTTATGTTGAAGTTATTGAAGATGGAAATGATTTTGGGTAAAACTAGCGAGGAATTGGAACTAGTGCAGGTTTCAGAGTCAAGAACAGGGGCATGTTGACTCCAATAAGTCCCATAAAAGTTCTGCCAGTGGCCAAGTTAGAGGTCAATCCAGAGGTCGAGGGCGGGCTTAGAATCCAGAATATGTGACAAGGGAGGATTTGACAGATAAGATAGGTAAACTTCAGGCCACACTGCAATCTTTGTTGGGGCACCCTCAAAAATACTGAAAGTTGAAGTACTTTGAATCCTGAACCTAGTGAGGGAACCAAAGTGAACAGACCGGCTATTATCCCTTCAGATAGTCAGCTTGTCCTAATACCGTCTACTACCGTTGTTTAAAAGGGGTGTGACTATAAAAAGTTTTTGGTTTGTAAACCCCCAAACTTAATCTGGTGAGCAGGATCCTGTTAAAGCTATGTGAAGATAAAATTGAAGTACTTTTTTATACTAAAAGTTTTTGAATGAGGATAAAGTTATTTTTGTTGTGGTCGTACTGAAATCTGATGCATTGTTCTAGTGGGATATTATGATGTCTTCAGAAGGATCAAATGTTGCCAAAGCTATATCATGGAATGAATTTATAGATGAATTTAAAGATCAATTTTGTCCAAAGGCAATCGTACGACAATTAATTTTTTTTAATGAGATTAGAACATGGTAACATAACAGTTTAGGAATACACTTCAAGTTTCCTAGAAAAGTCTCAATTTATATAACTGTATGTGTCTACAAAGACTCGTAGGGTACACTGGTAAATCTGGGGACTGAAAGATTCTGTCAGAGAATTGGTTATGGCTATGAATCCGGTCACATTTCAATCTACCATTGATGCTGCAGAGATGACATAAAAAGAAAATAATCAACAATTAGGGGAAAGAGGTAATGAAAAAGGAAAATGGGACAGATCGTAGAAAGCGTTTAGAAGGCCAAAGTTATAAGATTTGATAATCATCCGAATCAAGAAGTACTGAAAGACCATGTCTTAGGTGTCATCAAATGCATTGGGTGAGTGTAATCTAGATTTAAAGAATTGCTATAAAAGTGGAAAACCAGATTCTATTGAGGACGACTGTCGAATCACAAAGTTTTGTTATCGATATAATTCTATTAAAACGTTTAAATATTCTAGACGTCATATAAAACCAATTTTGTTGTTATATCATATAATTGACTTAAATAATGAAGTTGGCAATTAAAAAAATTACATTATTAGTTAATTACATTAAACTTTTACAGAACTTGGGTGAAATTTTTTACATAAGTCCCTTCAGTAAAAATTATGTTGCCACTAAAACATAAAAATATAAAATGACAAGTGCATTAGACAATTGCCACTAAAGTCCAATAATAATTTATTTATTCCCAACAATTACTTCTTATTTAATAAAAATATATTTTATAATTATTTATTATATATAAAATAAAATTAATATACAATGCAGTTCAGTTTAAACTCGTGGTTAATAAGAAACTACAAAATCAAATGACATATGATGGTATCAAAATGTAATAGGATGTTAAAAAAAAAGGAATTGATTATTTTTTAGGGATGATTATATATCATTTATTTCAAGATTCTTAATAATTATGTTTAAAAAAAATTGAATAATTAAAATAAACACAGTATTATTCAACATATATATTTGAATGACTTCTTTTTTTTTTTGGTGTTTTGAATGATATGTTCATTAGTGAACCTAGTTTGTATGATGTTTATGCATGAACCAAAGACGTTAATACATAAATAATCGGTTAAAGGTTTATTTAGTGAACAATTTTCATGACTACCAACCTCTATTTCTTATCATATAAATGTTCATTGATGAACTAATAAACCGTTCATAAGTTAACAAGTAAAATGTGATTGATTTGAGTTTCAAAACGGTGGAGGAGAGATTCCCGGAAACTGAAGTATGTGCATAATAAAAGCTCCTAATCTTTTCCAATTTTAACATTTTTGTTATTGTTCACTACAACATAACACAAGTTCTTTTTACTATTATTACAAAAATGTCACTGGTGTTTTAATTCATAAATTGAATAAATTAAAAAAAATCATGATTGGTTCACATAGTTAACACTAAATATATAGTTAATAAATGAACCAACCCCTGTATATATGGGTGTGTGTATATATGTATGTGTATATATATATATATATATATATATAGGCTTAATCTTGCAAAATTCTTTAAAATATAAGATCCGGGAGATCCATTCTAAGTCACTCATTTAATTTAGTTAATTTTATTAATTAAATAAACATAAAGAGTAATTGTGTGATTTTCTATATTGATGACAACGTATAAATACATAAATTTATTATTTATTTGTTTCCACAATGGAATAGTAGTAATTTTGAATTAAACCAGATCTAGTTGAGCAACAATGGAATAGTAGTTATTTTGAATTAAAAAATTAGATAAAATTATGAGTATTTGTAAATTCTCTCTCTCATCTCTCTCCCCCTCCTCTCTCTCTCTCTCTATCACTCCTCTTTCTATCACCTCTCCTTGGTACCTAACACGTTCGACCGCCATCATCCCAATTTATGTACAGCCTATGGTTATATAAATATTGTGAGCACAGTGTGAACCAATTTTTATACATCCTATGCTATATAAAGACTCTTAACATATAGTGAATATCATGGTGAACATGCTGTGAACAGATTGTGAACCAACTTTGTACAATCCTATATTATAAAAAGATTATGAACACATGGTGAAGAAGGTGAACACATGGTGAACAAGGAAATAAAGGTGAACACATGAACAAGGTGAGCATCTTGTAAAACTAAATAAAAAACTAGAAATCAAAATCGAAACTCAAATCAAAACCAAAACCCTAACACCCATCTTGAAGTTGCATCACGAAGTTGGATGAATCATGGGGAGAGAAGAACAGAAGCGACGAGAAGATGGAGGGAGAAGAATATATGGCAGTCGCATCATCAAAATTGCCTTCATCTGATAAATCTCAACGACCATCATATCGGAATTGGATTCTCATAATCGCCTTCTTCTACCTCAGTGACCATTTGAATTAGGTTATCCTCTTCATCTAATTAATCTCTCTCTCTCTCTCTCGATTTCCTTCTCGTAATCTGTTTCGTTCTTCATCTTCCATTTCTCAGCTAGTGGTACAAAAATCTGGTGCACGTCATGTTGGTTTTGGTGGCTGGTTAGATGAGAAGAATAGAGAGACTCACCAACCTATTGAAAAGATGAGTTGCTATAATTAATGGAAAACCTAATTCTTTTAATATGTTTCTATAATTAAGGGATAAGATAAGTTGTCACCAACCAATTTATTAATTAATTTTTGTTTTTTATTTTTCAACAAAGCAAATCCTTAGATTACCCTTTAATATTTATTTAATCAGTAATATTAATTATCTTAGATAATTGGATTAAAATGAATTTCACTAATGTTATAATTTCTAAAGTTCTTAAATGATTAAACCTTTATATATATATGCTTGTGTGTATATCTGTATATACTATATTATAAAACATTTGACAAAAACTTTTAAAATAATTGTTTATTTAAGTATTGTTTATTGATGCATATTACTTAAATTTCAAGATTACAAGTATATTGTGCGTATGTACAACTTATATACTATACTATAAAATATTTGACAAAAGCTTTGGAACCAAGCTCAAACCAATCAGGCACCACTCTTGTGGTTATAAATTTCGAGTGATGTAGAATAAATTGGTTGACGATATTCATTGGATCATGGGAACGACAAAAGTGCACAAAAACACAAAAAATCGAATGGGTCACGTGTGGAATTCATGTTTTGCATGGACCAACATCGAGCTTCAATATAATTATCAAATTTCATTTGAAACTTGTTGATCAAAATCATCAAATTTTGTAAGTCCTGACATAAAATGAATCATTCACGTTCCAAAAGATTTGTCGTCATAAAAATCAGTTGAAATACATAAAAGACATGCGTTTCAACGGTTTACAAAGACGGAGAGAAGAAGAAGAAACGTGAATAATATACATGCGTCGAAAAGGTGGCAAAAGCTCGATCACTATTGCGATTTACAGACTTTTTCTGCCCTAAATGAAATATGGTTCATCTGAGTTCTACGTAATTAATTAAACTAAAAGTACATAATGTATATATATAATGTGCTGCATCAAAATTATTTTATATTTATTACTTTTGAGGTGTTCGCCGACTAATTAATGTATGTTCTTATAAATTATATATACCTAAAGGAGAGAAGAACCCTCTAGTTGCATTTCCAGAACCGAAGAACTTCCTTCTGCCTTCTGTAATCGATCTTCATATTCCCAATGATCACCTTCCTGCAATATGACTTCAAGAAAAAACTTATGTTACGTGCATATGTTCTAATTAGTTAGCAACCAAAATGCATTAATGTACTTGTTGATTATTGAAGAATAGAGATCCATATTAAAGAAAAAGTGGGGTAGGAAATAATTTGATTGATGCTACAATCGAGACGAAGTTAAAAGGATGTTGCTAAATGGATGGAATTAACACAAGGGTGGTGTCTGATTGGTTTGAGCTTGGTTCCAAAGATCAAAAGTACCAGGAGGTCCCAGGTTTAAATCCAAGGAAAAATAAAAACCCCTCGTGGCCATGCAGGTTCAAATGCGGTGACTCTGAGCTATCTACAAAGCGGGTGATCGCCCTGGGATAAGTCGGTGCGTATAACGGATTGGACATCCAAGTTAATAAAAAAAATGGATGGAATCTCATACACAAATGATAATCCCATGGTGGGCATAGGTTGTATATATGACCTATTTTTATGAACAACAAACATCAAGTGTGTGTGTATATATATACATATATAGGGAGGGAGGGAGGGAGGGGGAGAGAGAGAGAGAGAGAGAGAGAGAGAGAGAGAGAGAGAGGAGGGAAGGTTGAAACGAGAATGCTAATTATTTAAGAAAACAAGAAAAATGTCGTTAATGTATAAAATCACATGTGATTATGCATTAAATGGAAGCGTACGACTTTTGAGGCCACTTAAGGCGCGGAGCAAAGTCGTCCGGATCATGTATGATTTGTTCGTGAATATACATGATTCGGTGCGACTTTTGCCGTCACTTTACTTTGCCCGCGACTTGAGTCACGGCAAAAGTCGTTCGATTCCATTTTTCTGACGTTAATGTAAAATCACATGTGATTTTGAACATTAACGACTTTTTTCTTGTTTTTTCTTAAATAATTAGTGTTCTCATTTGAACATTCTCCGCCCCCACCCCCCTCTCTCTCTATATACATATTTATGGGGTTATATATTAAACTGTTGTCATATAAAATAGATCTAAAAGGCACTCAAACTTAAGCCCAAATTTGAACATTCAAATCTGATTTGTGCAAGTAGGCATTCTTTTCAAATGGTAACAGAGAAACAAGGCAAAACTATAACACGATGAGAGCACAATAGGCATGCAACACAAGAGCACAAACAAACATTCTGAATTTTGCCAGAAATGGTAGATTTTCATGGTAGTGATACTTTTTATCTTGAAAAAATGATCACGATTATATATATATATAAGAGAATGATATTCTAACCACTGTACAAGCAACCCGAAGCACGAACGTCACAGATTACTTACTCGTACTACCTTGGGATAATATCCGAGCATTTTGCAAGGCCTTTTTATAAATAAAACTTTATCTTTGTCTTGCATTGTAAATCCAACTGAAGACGCAGAAGTTCAAAGTCTTCCAAAGTTGTTATCAAAAGAATCATCATTATTCAAATCTGGACACTAAGAGTAGGTATTGGAAAACATAAAGTATTTTAAGTTCCCTAGAAAGCCTCATGCAAATCAAATGAAATTCATAAAGTGGATTCGTAGACAAAAGCAATTTTTTTGGTTTCCAATGTCCCTACCTATGGCAACACCCAGTAATAATCCGTTAGCTATCATTCTCAGTTTCTCATCTCCATCTCCTCTTTCTCAGATCAATCTGAAGGCTGTTTGCAATTTGGAGATCTTGGTGAAATCACGGCCAGACGAAATCAGGTTGAATAGGGTGTTTAGAAGGATGATGGGAAGATGGGTGTTTGGTGGCTGTTCGTAAATGCATCAGTGAGGGAGGGGTTGTCTGTGATAGCTAGTGAGTGGCTTTGTGAAGAACATCAGTTAGGACAATGTATTCAGCCGTAGTTAGTATGGTGATAAGGGCGGCAAGATCAAATTAACGGTTGTTATATGGTGGGTTAGATAAGTGTTGAAATTATTGATGCTGCACAATTAAACCCATGCATAGCCGACACGACCTTCTACGCAAACTTGGACTCGACATCCAAGAAGGCAGCTCGCATAAAGCACACTCTGGGAACCGTACAAACTAGGTGCATGCACGGCTGCTTAATTACACCTTTTAGCTAGATGTGATTCTAGTCATATTGATCAAGGCCAAATTTATCTCTCTCCTTTTCCCTGTTATAGAGAAAACAAATCTCAAACTTCAAGGCTCCATTTTGGTGATGGAATCATATATATATATATATATATATATATATATATATATATATATATTATAGAGAGAGAGAGGAAATATCGTGTGACAATGAGTTAAGATGAGAACTATAAAAAGGGATTTGGATATTTGATCATTTTTAGTTAGTGTTGATCTAGTGATTCTCATTTAATCCCAAACCAACCCATAAATTAGCGCTTTATTAGAAGAGAATTTGATCTAATGGTTTTCTTCAATTAAAATTGATCCAATGGTTGAGATCTTTTCTTGCCTTTCTCCTCATATCTCAATCTCATCAGAAGCCAACCATATATATATATATATATAGTTGGGTCCAAACAAAAACATTAATCAAGTCGCCCATAAAGCGACCATGTTTCGTAAGCACATGTTATTTCAATGCAAAAAATCACATGTGATTTAGTTGTTCTCATGTTCTTTAATTTTGACTTTGTTCTCATTTGCTCCTTCCTCTCTCTCTCTCCTCTCTCTCTCTCTATATATATATATATATATTATAAAAACCATACAAATTAATCTTATTGTTCATCTAATCTGATGAATATCTGGTTCTCTAAGTATCTCGCATGTTTCTTAATCCTAAAGCAATATGATCATCACAAATAACTCTATCATCTTTCATAAATATCTCGCTCATCTTCTACAAATATCTTGATTGTTTCCTAATATAAGCGTTCATCATGATTTGCAAGATTTCTACTCACAAACACACATATACATATAAGTGAAAGTTCAAATAAGAAAGATAAAAACGGTAACAACGTTAAAATAGATTATTCATGTGTGAATCATTGGTAGCCAATATTCTACTAGTGTTTCTGTGGATGCATATTACCACAATGATAGCGGAACCACCTCAAATATTAGTGTCTCTATTTTGGATGGCATAATTATATTACTTTGCAATTTTGTGTTAATATTATCTTCACTTTGTTGGTGGTTGCTTATTATGAACGGATTATCACATTAACTTGTTGTCAAGCGCATTAATGTTAAGAATTGTTTGGCTAAAATACAAAATAAGCTTGAAAGTTTATCGCACAGTGATAGAGTAATGAAAGGTGAAAGGTATTTCATGTCTATAAAAAATGTTCTAAGATTTAGGTTTAACTTGTTCTAATAAACACACTTTAAGTATTTTGTTCTTTTTGTTCTTGTTCTCTTGTTTTAGAGAGTAGAAATGCATGTATGAGTTTATCTTGGAGTGTGTGTGTATTATTGGGGGAGGGTTTAGAGATTAGAACTATGGCATGGTAACAATTTTTCACATGGTGGATTTTCTCTCCGAAATGGCTTTGGTTTTTCTTCATTTTTGGAGTTTCCACGAAAATTATTGTATTTTCTTTTCTTTGTTATTTTTCACTGTTGGGTTATTGGAAACATTGAGGCTAAGTTCCCAACAATTTTTCCACATTGTTCATTTGGAATTTTGGTTATTAGTTAGGGACCTACAAAATTGTTTCTTGGTTGTTTGATGAGCATTATTAATCCCTACAATAAAATAGAACTTTGAGTTGTTCAGTGTTGGGTAATATGGCTAGCTATTCTTGAATTGATTTTCTGCAAATCTTACTCGGTCGTTGTAAAATCAATGAAAACACAAATGATGTGCCAAGTAATGTTGTTTCTTCAAACAAGCAAGTGTTTCTGATACGATACACAAAGATGGAAAAAAGGAAAAGGAAGAGGGATTAACATAAGAGAGAAGGAGATAGATTGCATGAAAAACAACCCTTCACAATTGATTAGCTTTCTCTTGATCAACGTGTGATGAGTTTCTAGGGTTTAGTCAATCACACATCATATCCTTCATCAAGATTAATCTTCAGAAAAGGGCTACAATACAAAAAAATTACCAAAAAGAAGAGTAGAATTGTAATATGTAGAGAAGGATTACGTCCGGTGTATGGTTTCTGGAATGGATTGTCATTGTCTTTTTCCTTGTGCCCTTGTCAAAAAGCAGTATGGTTTTTCTTCAAAAGTGCAATACATTAGTTTTTTCCACTTCCAAATTATGGATGTGGAAAAGCTTTTGATGGTTACGTGAAAAGTGGGAATCATATAACATTTAGATCCCAAAGATATGACTTCCTTCGTTGAATATTGAGAATTAAAACTAAAGCCATTTGTTTATCAATTGAATTGATGATAGATTAAACTACTTATTTCGTCCCTATGGTTTCAAGAAAATTTTGGTTTTCATCCTTGATCTTCATTAATCATGGTTTTTGTCACTGTGGTTTATAGTTCGTTGATGTTTTTGTACCTGAGAATAGTGCTGCTTGTTACCAACCATTAAACCTCATCATATTCCTTTTAGTGAGGGATAGTTTAGTCTTTTTCATCCTGTTTTAAAAGGAAAAAAAAATAACCCCCTCACTCTCCAAAGACATCGTGTCCCCTTCCTCTCCATCTCAACCATTTAGTTCTTAATCTGGATTTTAGTTTTTTGGTTTGTAATTCTTCTTCTGACTTTGAGTTTAAAGTGGTTCTCAACTCCAAGATCTGTTCTCAAACCCCTAAAGTTTAGATCTTGACTGTAATCTTGACAATATATGCATATACACTTCATTTTTATTCTCAATCTTCTGAATTTATTTTAACTCATAATTTTGATTTTTCTTTTGTGTTCTAATTTCTTGGTTTGATTTTGAAATTAGGGTTTTTATTTTTCTACCAAGAAAATGGATTTTAATCACGTTAAAACAAAATGAAATTATGGGTTTCCATTTTTCTGATTCAGAGAAGTAGAAAAGAAAGAGAGAGAGAGAGAGAGATCAAAGGCGGTGTTGTCGTGGTCCAAGAAGAAGGTTATTGTGGACGGAT